CCACGTTATACAATCTCGCGAAGAAAGCAATCACGAAGCTCGATCACGAGATCTACCGAGCCGAACCTCAACTTGACAGTGATCTAGAAAGAAGACGACGGTTAGATCTGCATTTAGCTACGAAAGACGCCAATGTACCGATCTAAGAGGAGACCATTACTCAAGAAAAATTGTTGAAATTGAAAGAAATCATGGAAAGAATATGGTATAAACATATATTGCACCAACTTCTGTTGAACAATTTTCCCGCAAATTATAGCCATAGTGAGAATCAAGACATGATCACGGTTGTCGACATACCGGTATGCATCATATCTCACAATGTGTTGGCTTGCGTGGTTTATTCAGCCGTGATATTTACTTACCGCTTTTATCGTGCCAAAGCAAGAGGACTCGGACGTAAGGTTGTTGACTATCTTGTTATGTATCGTGGTATTTGCTTTTGTGGTTTCTTTGATGTTTCCGAGACTACTGTAGTTTGGTGATTACGGGAATGATGGCAGCTTGTGCTGCTGTTTTATCTGTTTTTTCATTCTAAATAGGATTGGTGCACAGCTTGGAATATGTATCATCAATACCATTCGTCACCATATTTCTGCGATAATTTTTAGTTCCGTCCACCACGAAGAAATGTCACGTTTGCGTTTCATACTTATTTAATATGAAGAAGAGATCCAACTTTAGGCCTGAAGTCTTCATTCGCAGTGTTTATAGTGCTACTTATTCAAATAGCTCACCTACTCCTTTGAACTGCTGTTGTTGCCCCAACATACAACTCTTCAGTATGATTCCTAGCCAGCGCCCAGTGGGCATCTAAAGTAGCACATTTTAAATGCTCACCTAACGGATACAATTCAGTCCACACCAATTGATCTATGATTTTGAAAGTGCCATTATAGCCTGTGATCGAATTGGAAGCAGGATCGAAATCTGCGGAAACAACTTTGACAAAGCCACGGGTGTGATTCTTATCCTGCTCTGATGCAGACACGAATGATGCAATAGCCGCAGAGTCGACCGTGAGGAAAGTTGTTGTGGATAAATTGGCTGGAATGAATTGCGAAGCGACCATGGTCTGGAAATGTCTGGTAATATGTTAGTTCAATGTTGTATAATGCAAATGAAAGTTATCGGACTTTTTAGCAGCGATAATGTCGCCCTCGGGTATGCCTGCATCGTCGGCATTTACCCAATACAATGTCGCTTTTTGCCTTATATCTTCTACCCCAACCATCCCATCCCATCCACTGTCTAATCCATCATTTAATATGTTGAGGAAATTCTTCCACACTTCGTCACTTTGCCCACTGTTCATCTTATAGATGACATATCCAAATTTATCAACATTTCTCAAATCTCTCACCCAGTCTTCCTCTTCTACTTTGGAAGGGTTTAATATTTGTAGTTGGGCTACTTGGTGTGCTTTCGCTCTGTCCAACATGTCCCATATACGTAGCGTGGCTTCCTGCTTTTGTACAAATTGAGGATGTTCATCATTCTTCACCCTCGCCTCGGTTACCTTTTCTATCTTTTCTTGATAATCAGCTTGAAAGTCGTCTCTTCTCGCCTTTTCAACTTCCTCATAAATGGCATTATTTTCTTGCCATGAGTCGTTTTCATTACTAAAAAGCCCGGTCATGTTTCCTTGTTCATGTCGATATACTCGAGTATAAATCCAACAGTATGCGGGGTAACATAGAATTCGGTCTCGATGTAGAGATCGAGAATTCTGTTCAAGACACGGGACTGATCTCGAGAAGTCAAGTAGATTTCAGCCTCACCAGAGATAGATATAGTTTGGTTCAAAAATTCGAAATAAGCTGTATTGTATAGAGGACGTAAGTTTGTGAATATAAAGCTGCGGGATTGGAAGGTCATGTTTTCATAAAGATAAGACTGTATGTATTCTTGCCATAGAGCTGACAGGCTATACACCGGTATGAATCTTCCGTTCTCAACTTCGAGTACATCTAATGCATCTTGCAGATAGTCCAATTCGATCCAGATTTGATTATAAATATCTCGCAGTCGACCTTGAACGGGAGGGGTGTGAAGATATTCAAATACATCTACTACGAGCTGTATTTGTGAAAGAGCGACCTCAACATTCTCTGGCTGTGAGAGAGAGCCATAGATGACCAGCGAGCAAGAGGTATTGGTGACATGCCATGCCATATCTCGAGATAGTCAGCTGACTGACATTAGTAAGGTGATTGAGACGAGAATTATTATTTAATAGGGTACAAATAGATATTAATAACCTCTTTTCTTCATCATCTCCAGATTCGGTTCAACAGACACGGAATCCTGGGCTGCTCGCAAAATATCATTCAAACCAGAAGCAACCATCATAATTCTGACCAAAGGCGGCGCACTATTCAGACTTATAGAAAGACCTTCGGAGCCGACGTGCTCGTTATACGGTTCAGGTGCCCACTCCACATAATTTTCGACAAATATTTCATATCTTCTTCGGGAAAGAGTGGTAAATTAGTTTTTCGATTTCCCGGCATATTACTAGAGACGGCCGCCGCTAGGAAATGAGTTACGGTTCCAGCTTCGAAGAGAGCAATGACTGCAATGTAGCCAGGCGGGGTTGGAGGTAGAGATGGAACAGCTAGATAGATGGAAAGCAAAATTGCGAAAAGCATTGTTAAGAAAATTAAGAAAACTTTAGATCAACATCCGCATCCGCATCGCCTTTTTCTCGTCCTAGACATGTTGTGAGCTGGGCTGACCTGAGTCTTGATGAAGAGGAGGTGGTTTATTCAGGCTTCTTATAGTTCTGAATGCATTGTGGAATGGGTGCTTTACACAGCTTTGTGTACCGGCATTCACTGATATAAAATCCTCAGAGATAGGGGTGGCATATCGACACGTGACTATGTTGCCACTGCCGCGTCCGAATCAACAACCACAATCGACATGTAGTTCTCCGGTCCGAGGAGAGTATCGCGCAGTCCTTTGTAATATCTCCTACAGTGGCATTGAAAATGCCGGCGCTCCGGCCGGCCGTAACTTGAGGGGCTAGGAATTCTGCCATTATTCACCGCTATCTCAACATCCGAGCGGTTGGTGAAACATTCAAACCGATATTTGTTCAACAGTTCCGCGGATCTTCAGCATTATTGGAAGAGTTGATGGAATATCAATTCTAATAAAAGAGGCTAGATGTTGCGGAAAACACTTGCGGCACGGCCCGGGAACCGTCCAAACTCCATCCCGAGTGTTTATCGTGTGAGCTAGATTTGTCACTAATTACTAGTGGAAGTCAAAATCTTCCTCACCGCTCGGCATTTGTTACATGTTGAACGCTGCTTGGTCAAGTTGAATCACTCGCAACACAGCATCTACCTTCCATAGCAATACTTTCTCATAATCCTTTACACATTCACACATTCATCTACACAGTACCGTACCATCACCAGCTATACTCACTAAAAAAAATGCTCGGCCGTATCCTCCTCACTCTCTCCGCCCTCGCCCAAGGCATCACTCCATTCATCGCAGATTTCAACCACACACACATCTACAACCCACGCTGGCCCCCTCACGCCAAATTTCATAATGGGCAAACACTCTCTATGGGTGCTGGACTCTGTCTCATCACTCTATACTATACCTGGCGCTTTCCAGCCATCTCAAATTCAAAGTCAAACTCAAATCCCAAATTGGGGATAGAGAAGAAGCAGCAAGCCCCCGAATCATCAGAGATGATGGCGACAAGAAAAATGACGCGGGATAGTATGATTACGGCGGCGATTGCAGGGACTTTGTATTGGGTCGCGGGGCTGAGCGCGATATTGTATCCGGGGAGTAAGGCGATAGATCCGGAGTTTGGGGATGGGTTTCCGCAGGCGATTATTTATCCGATCTTTGCGGTGATGGCTATTTTGGGGGCTTGGGTGGAGGTCAAAGGTTTGGAGAGGGTTTAGAGCGGAGGTCAACGAATTGGGGGTGAAGGAGGGGTCAATGAAGGCAAGAGATTCAGAGCCGGGAGAATGAAGTGAGAAATTCCTCTAGGAGGAGCATCAATGTCCGAGTTTGATTTGGACCTTGAAAGGGACGAGGCGATTATAACTCTAGATGTTTTAAGTTTTAGGCAAAGGGAAGATAAACCAAAAATGGGAACGATGAGATAGCTATGAAAGGAAGGGTATTGGATTTCTCATTTATATAACTCCATATCAGATGAGTCAACGATCTCTAGGGCATGGATTCCTACTTCATGGAATACCCGGTAAAACAATCTCTCCCTCCTTCGGTTGCACATCCAACTCTCCATCATCACGCCAAGGCGCCTGATGTTCCTCTGCAAACTTTCTTATATCATCAAAATTCTTACACTTATGGTCACGGTTGAAATCTGGATACAAATGAGTATGTTGGCCGGACATTGCCCAGAGATATGGATGTGCGTCTGTCTCAGCTGTGCACATTAGACGCTGTCGGATGGTATCTAGACAGTGATCTGTGGTAGAAATTAGTTGACAAGATCATCAAAAGAGGACAGGGTGCATACTTATATGTGCTTTCAAGACAAATTCTTCGTTTTTGAAAGGCCCTTCTCCACGTTTATGATAGTATTCAGAGTTATAGTAAAGGCCTTGTCGGAGGAGATTCTACATAGTGTTAGTGTCAAATCACGACCTGTACAATCATATGCTATGTAGAGTGGGAAGTCTCACCAAACAATGCAATTGATGTAGCACCTCAACCGTGGCAGGATACCCAGGACCTCCATCTTTCTCATCGACTCGGAAGTGATCTAGTGATATCCCTGCTTTGGGTGCATCTTCTGTTGGGATGATTATCGCTTTGTCTATTCAAATATGTCAGTATCAAAGTTGATACTGTTTATAGAGATTGAATGGGTGGTATACAATTCGTCCCAAGATTATACCATGCTTGATCGACTTCAGGACTGGGATCTTCTCGGTATATGGTATTGGTGAACAGTGAACCGTTGAACCGGACAGTTTCGTATTTGAGTTCGACTTTGTCGAGTACGGGGCCTGTATGAATCAGTATATATGTCATGTGTTTGAGGATATCATGAAATTTGGGTAACTGACTCCAACTTTGACTCGTATGCTTAGCACACGTTTTGTCTAGATTTCCTTGGGATTGATATGTGATAAGATATGTCGCGGTATTTGAGAGTAGCGTGATCACGATAATACATGGTATCCAGAAATAAGTTTGTGCCTTTGACGACGTGGTGGTTCTGAGGGAACCTCGAGGTGAAATGTGAGCTTTCTCAGTTGCCGGATACTCATTTTTCAGATCTGCCAAAAATGGTACGCTTGAATCATCTGAATGTCCCATATTTGACTTTGACTGATGTTCAAAACCTCCAGACATGAGCATGAGTTTCATTGCAAGAAATTCAGCCTCTTAGTGAAATGGTAAACTCGAAAGTGCTTAGACGTCTTTGCAAAAATGTCATTGGGAGCACAAAATACAGCAAGGTCGTCACCACACCCCCACTCATTGACGTTTTCTCTATGATATCAAGAAGAGATCCACGAATATATATCTACCTTCTACATGCAGTATTCCGCGCCAATATCTCACAATCAGAATTCAAGATACTGTCGAGAGTAAGCACTACCATTATCTCTACACCATAATCTTCACGTACTTCCCAGATGCCACCTTTGATAAGGATACGAGAGATCGTCACGGCCGTATATTGTACGGACGAAGTACGAATAATGTACGGATGGTGAACAAATTGTGAACAAATGATGCAAGATACGTTGATTTACACGTACAAGCTTAGTGGCTCTAGAGCGTCCATGCATTTTTGTGGGTTGAAGGATCGCCAAGGCTGATACCTCCTTCCCCTTAAAGCCAAGGTTTGAAGCGAGCCCCGTAACCGCACGCTACCTCACCTCGTGGTATCTGCGTGGATGGGTAGATTGTGGATCTTTGATTGTTGGATTTCACGGCACGCCGGGTTTGCTGGAAATTTATGATAAGATATGATAAGATATGATAAGCAAGTGTACACTGTACAGTACGAGAGATAAATCTGGCAATCTTAGCATTGAAGGTTCTGTGCCAGATAGCGAATCATAAATTTGATGATGAGATCTCAAAGATAAGAGGATGTTGGACAAGTGGTACAATTGCGCAGATATTGTGATTTATTTGCTTCAGACAACTAGAAAAAGACTATCCTCATGATCTACCATCCTCTCTCACGAAAAGATATTTTCCACTCCGATTGGTTTAAAACTAAACTCCCTCCTCCTACTCTACCACATACCCTACATCAAAAGCCTTCTCGGCTTCTCGCTTTGCTCCGACGGTGTACCCTACATCATAAGCCTTCTCAGCTTCTCGCTTTGCTCCAACACTATACCCCCCATCCCAAGCCTGCTCAGCTTCTCGCTTCTTGGCTCCCACGGCATATAAAAGGTTTGTAGCTTCCTCAGGTTGTGCATCCCGCTGTACCGCATAGAAAATGTTTGAAGCTTCTTCCGGTTGTGCATCTCGTTGTACCGCATAGAAAATGTTTGTAGCTTCCTCAGGTTGTGCATCCCGTTTTACTCCCACGGTGTACCCGCCATCAGATGCCGTTTCACTTTCCCGCTTCTCGGGTCCCACTGCATAGAAAATATTGGTAGCTTCCTCAGGTTGTGCATCCCGTTTGACTCCAACGGTGTAGCCGCCATCGTATGCCTTCTCTCGCTTTTCTGTCATTGTTGTTAGCATGATATTCTGTGCTCGAGTATATGAGTAGAGTAAATTTACGCACCGATTGGAGTGGGGAGAGCGATAGATACACTGAGCAAGCTCAAGGCTGTTAATGCGAATGTGATCTTCATGATGATAGAAAGATGTGAGGGTGATGTCTGAATGGATGTTTGAGTGAATGTTGAAGTGATTGGATTATGTGCTAAATCCGAATTCCTCTCTCATTTTAGGATGTGTGAAGAGCTATATATAAGAAGATATTCATTCGGGTGTCACATATGACTATCTGACGTGCTTTTTACCTCCTTCCTAATTCTGTGAGAGTGGGATAGCTGCAGGATAAGGGTGTAGATGCATATTCAAAGGATCAGTTTCCCATGCATAGGTATCGAGATAAAGTCTATGTGCCGCAAACGGTGAGGATTATCTGCAAGGCTAGTTGCATGTCACTATAATCATACGAGTCCTCCAATGAGGTCTTCGATTCTTTCATTAGCTGCTTCATCTTTGCTCTCTTTTCGGACATTGCTATCTCTCCTGTGATTTCTGAAATCAAGTAGCCAGCGGAACTTTCGGAATCGGATGAGAGACTGCATTCTTTCTTTCTAACTTTTTGAGACGGTTCCTGATTCCAACCTTGTCTCATTGTCTCTTGCTCTCGAGACCTTCGACAAAATATGGTGGTTGGTCGTGAAAACGCAAGAAAGACATTGAGCACCATGGACTCAAAACGTGTGCGATATGACCAGCTTCCACTTGAAGAAGATTCCGTCCCACCAGAGAAACCAAAGACCACCTCCATTGCCCGAAAACTTGTCCACGGACTACTATGTTCAGCACTCGTCTCCTCCATTATCATCGGTACAATCTGGGTATGGACCCATAGACATCCAAACCTACCTCAGCACATCGACTGCGGTACCACAACCGAAGAAGCCCTCTCAAAAGGCTGTATCATGGAACCCATGATATATGGCTGGGTTCCCCCAGAATGTTATTTCGACGACCTCAGCAAACAATACTCTCCCTTCGAAGACCGAGAATGGTACACCGATGATAGCTATTCGATCCGCATACCACCTTCAGATCTCTGGGCTGGAAAGAGAAAACATGTTTTTACACACAAATATCACTCGACACATTGTTTTTTCCTGTGGAGGAAATTGGCGTTGGGTGTTGCGAGGAGGGCGGCTTATTTGGATGATAAGTCGTTGGAGTTGGAGCATGCGGATCATTGTTCGGAGATTCTGGATCATTATGGAGGGGAGACGCTTAATTCGACGAATGATGTTGTGTTGGGGTTCCATAGATGTGAGAGATTGGCTTGGGTGTAGGAAATGAGCGAGGAAGAAATATTACCAGTGGAAAGGGAATTGCAATGTGATATCAGGGTGGAAAGTAGAGGCCGTTGATTAGATACTATATAAAACTCCATGTATACATCGGTATACTATACAACTGCATTGAGCCAAGAGTAATCCGTTCCTCGAAGTGGTGGATCTAATTGGATGGCATTTCCTGTTCCTTGGAAATGTTCAACTGGATGTTTTGCTTCCAACGATTTCACGTTGAAAAACATGAAGCGTCAATGAGACATCGACTCTTCAAACTACCCAAACATCAAAATATATTTGAAAAAGAGTTGAAACAGTAAAAGTCAATCCCATTAGTCAAAGAAAGAGATCATGTTAGATACTGCCATCCTCTCACGCTTGTTTCTCTCTCTTCTTCTTCTTCTTCTTCTTCTTCTTCCTCCTTCTCTCCTCCGCATCAATCACTGAAACCATCGATTCGATTTAATCCAATCACGAATATGTTGGCATGAGGCATTTCACGATAGAGAGCATCAGTTTAACCTCCACTTACCGGTAGTTGGGATTATCATAGAAAGAGAAAGCGTGAAAGTTTATTGATCCATGATACTTAATGATACTCACGGGAGCTCTTGGAATCAAATAAACGTCTCCAACCTACTGCTACATTATTACCGGGGCTTTTAGCTTAACTCGAGGAGGTACAGTATTACCGAGATTCTATCAACTTTGATATCGAACTTGTTGAATGTATCATTCATACCACCTTGCAAGCCAAATTCAAAGGCATAGACTCAAGGATTTGATACGAGTATGCGCGATTGAGGTGAAAACCAAAATTGTGTCAATGCATTTCATTTCATATCATTTGATTCCATATATCCTTGAATTCCCACCGAAAAAAACGACCAAAGTAACTACACCAAGAACACCTCGTAAACATTAGACTACAAAACCCAGATACCTTAACAAATACAACCTCTCTTCTAGCCTAAAACACAAACAAATAACTCATCCATCCATTCTTGCCTTCTTCTTCTCCTCATCCCTCACCCCTCCCCCTCTCTCCTCAAAGCCCAAACACTTTTTCCACACCCTTACCTACATACTCAAAAGCCCCGCAACGCCCACCGCACCCGCAAACGTGATCCAGCCCACCCCCACAATACCCACCGCACTAGAAGGACTCGCACTCGCACTCGCCGCTGTCGGCGAAGTCGTAGCACTGCTACTCGAGCTCGAGCCCGAATTCGAGCTTCCAGCCTTGACGGGTGCAAGCGTACCGCCTACAAGTCCTGCCGGGTTCTTGGTCGCATCTGTGCTAAGTTTCTTTGCTGCCGCCGCGAACTGGGCTAGGGTTTTGGTGTTGTCGGTTCTTGTTTTGATGTTAAATTCAAAGGGAAATGGGATATGAGGGACGGAAGGATAAGAGAGGAGAGGAGAGGAAAGGAAAAGAAATACTCACGGCACGTTAACGGCCCCAACCATTCCACTCTCGCAATGTCCTGGCTTTCCGCAATAGAACCAAATTGGCTTTGTATCATTGACCAATACACTAAAGACGGAAGGGTTCCCTTCGTTGCTGGTGGTGGTAAGGGGCCCAGAAAAGAATCCGGAACCGTTACAAGGCGAGCCAAATATGGCTTGGGCGACGGAGTGGGTTGCGGGATAGAAGTGGAATTCGAGGGTTGTGTTTACGTCGGCTTTTGTTTCATTGGGAGAGAAAGTGAGTTGGCCACCAGCACCAACGCGAATGGTGTGTGTTGGGTCGGAGGGGGAAGTGCTGGTTGTGGTAGATGGAGTAGCAGCGCTAGAGGAAGAGCTAGCACCGCCGGCGCCGTATGCAGCAAAAGTGAAGGGGAGAGCTGCGAGGAGGAAGGTAGCTTTGCTGAATTGCATTGTGAAGTATTAATATTTATCTGCGATATGGAAACCAAAGATTATGTATTGATTGATTAAATAGACAGAAAAGTAGAAAGGACTAAAAATATGCTGAACGCTTTTGAGCTTGGAAATGATATTAAGATAGAGATTGAAATGAGATGCGAACTTAACAAAGACAATAGCTCAGTTATACAAAAATCACACCACTCCTCTTTCTTCTTTGATGCTATAAATGTCGCACTCAAATAAATTACTCACGATGACATCCTCAAAATAAGGTCCTCGCATTTCAATGCATCCGAAACCGATGCACAGCTTATTAGCCGCTACATATTGGTCCCCAGAATATGACCCCAAATTTCGGTTCACTCATCACCAACCGAACTTCAACTATAGTTGTCCTGCATGTACACCGGGATGAAACCAAAATCCAACACACCCCTAACTCTAGGGCTGACAGAACAGCATCTGATAAGTTCGGTTCCTTTCATCCGAACCATCCAATAATATCCAAAATATTGATGTAACCCAATGTAACATATGAACCCTGTGTGGGGATCTATTTTGATCCCCCGCGCTAATCTCAAACAGAAATGGCTAATGATGATCGACTTTGATGCAAATCTGACAGGAGAAAGTCGTTGCCGAGAAAACCCTCTTGCAACTACATGTAAATATCGGTAGCTGGCTGGAATTTTGAAACGTGATCTGAAGAGGGCGCAGCAGATGTCTTTCATGTCTTATTCTTGATTTGTACGTTGGTATTCCTTTGTGACCCAACGGCCCGAATGATGGCCTCTTAACTGCGGAAAAAAATCAACAAGCAGCTAAATTTATCGTTCTTTTTTTTAGTGAAATCATCAAGGGGAATGAAGTACCAGAACAAGTGTTTCTGACTATACATCATATAGATGTTATTCTTATGTAGAGCATTGTCGTGTTTCATGGCCGAAGTTGTTTCCGGACGATGAGTGATCTGTACCTCTCGAGAAGGATGTTGTTCAACGGTTATACAAGGATTACCTTCGTGATGTGGCAGCGTCTTATCTTTTCCAAGAATGGTCAGTCTGCCTGGCCATGTATCAACTTCTCCATATATGGGTTTGATTATAGAGGCGAAGCTAAATATAAAACATGGTTGAGTAACCATTCGATGAAGCGTTGAACATGTGTTGCTACGTTTTGTCAATTTTAGCCCTGAGATCATCTTATTGGAAAATCATGATCGCATATAGGGGGAGAAGTCATCGAAGTAGTATATCGACGATCCTTTGTTTGTCTTGTGTCTGAAGGATTTCAAGCGGAACACATAATATATGATTCCAATCCGGGCCTAACGTTTTAATGATGGCGAAAATATCATGATCTGCTAGACCTTCAAGCCACCAAAGTCCCGACACGAGTTTAATAAAGGACATATAATAAGCGCAAATAACAAGTGCTCTCGGCCGTTTGCTTTTGACTAAATCTGTGAATTCGACGGGTGTGAAAGATGGCCATGAGATGATGCGAATATACAAAGGTTCGCCAAGTTCATCCTGACGAAGACTTGCATAGAGGTTACCGAGAGCATCCAAAGTTTGACAATATACCTCCAAGTCTCCAAAGTCTTGATCGCTGGGGTCCATGTATAGCATGTCTGTTAGAGCAGTGGGGACCATCGGAATAGTGAGTAGATCATTCAAGTTTCGGACGAAAAGTGGACCGACAGAAGTTGTGGTGTTGAAACCTCCATCCGGGGTTTTCATCGAAACGATAAGACGCAATCCCGTATATAAACCCATCCAATTTACTACCGTGAGTTCATCTTTGTCATCCCGGTCTCCTGAAGCGAGCACTACAAGGAGTAATGCCATTACAAGAACTGCCTCGTAGTTCTTCGAGTCTTTAGTAACGGTCATTACTGCATTGCGATAATCACGTAACGCCTTTGCACGGTAAAGAGCTGTTTGCCGTTTATGTTCCTCATTCTGTGGAAGTAGATGTTGGTTGTGAAGAGATGCCAACCCCAACATCCCGTTCATGAGAAATTCATTCTCAAAAGCAAGAGATGGGACAGCTACTTGCATTACATGACAAGCTTCAGGTCCGAGAGCTACAATTTGCCCTGTATATGTAGAATAATGATGCATCATACGTACATCCATCATAGAAAGCACCTTGGTAGCTGTGGCTATTGGAGGGAAAGGTGAATTCCTGAAGTCCCACGAGATTTCCACTGCGTGAACAGGCATATCATGAGTACCGCGTTTTTCCAAAGAGGTATTTAGCTTTGGATCCGTTCTACTCGAAGTAACATTCGCCTTTGCAGGCTTTTCTAAATAATGACAAGAAAGCTTTCTTATGTCACAATGGGAGCATTTCGGTTTAGCTTCATCACACTTTCATGGATGGTCAGTGACCATAAACCACAAGTGGAGTATTCATTGAATATACCTTGATCTTTTTTGTCTTGCAAGTTTGACACCCCGCCCTCGACTTCTTATGAGGTCTCTTCGTGGTGAAAACTGTTGCCATCTTGTTCTCGAATTGATATATTCCTTTAAAACGTAAATGTACCAGAAGTTGGTGCCTAGTTAAGAAAGGTTGGCATTGAGTGAATACTTGTTAGAGTGCAGAGGTCCTTGAGCTGAGTTTGATACGAAAACATCGAATCATAGTAGCAAAAGTTCCTTCACTCACAGCAAGCGAAAAATACGAAATCCGATGCTGGTGATGGCAAGTTAGAACAGAATAGCAAAGTAGTGAGTTTGTTGGTCTTTTGCTAGATGACAAGGGGGCGGTTCGCTCGCTCGCTGTAAGATGGAGGAAAGGAAGAATGTTATCTGGGTCGGTTTAGACGAGAAGCCACAGTTGACTCTTGACTGAAGCTGCAGAGATACAAAGTAAAAACACTCAGAAAGATGTGTACGAGTATGAGTACGTAAAAAGCGGAAAAAAGTCAACATTTGTATTTTGAGCCTTGCTATTTTGGCATCGGGGCAACTGGGTAAACCTCGGGATATGTCGGATGCCGCTTATTACGGCCTTGGGACAAAACATGTGGGTAAATTAATCACTCACGTGTTCACGCGTCTATATACTATTAATTATCAGCCTTGCATCAATCAAGAGCTTACAAGCTTAATTAATGTTCATCAAAAACAAGCTGGAAAAAGAAGTAAAAGTAATAACAAAACAAGAATGGTTGCCCTATTTACTCTACCAAACGAATTGGTCCTCTCATCCTTATCTTCTCAATTTCCATGCAGAGACCAACAAATTCGCTCTCTGGCTACTTTACTTTCTGTAAGTCTTCCTTTAGTCTACAGCTGTACGAGTATATCGGAATGTACACTTACCTATAGGAATCAAATTACAGATCCAGACAGCTCCAAGCAGAAACCTTGTACTCCATGGACTTGAAGCCACGGGCAAATCTACGATAACGAAGGCCATCCTCGAAGCACTATCAGCTAATTCAGTACACAATGGCATTTCCGAGGAGCATTTCAACGATGAACTACAATATGCCATAATCAAAAGCGCAGAATGTATATCTGGAAGACACTTGTTGGAGCAAACCATAGGCGCTGTTGCGAAAGCAGTAGAATGGAGGGGGAACATACCAAGATGTGAGAATCTTGCACAATTAGTGGTCGAGGTTGGAAAATTACTCGAAGGTTGGACTGCCACAAACGAAGCACAAGCTGCGAAGCAGAGATTCGTTCTTGTTTTTGATGGTATCGATCGACAGAAAGAAGCTCCTCCGACTATGCTACCAGCACTAGCTCGAATGAGTGAAATTGTATGTTCAATCCCAACTTTAATTAGCGCAGTCTGCATTCTAACAAACAATAGATCCCTAATCTTACCACAATATTTATCACTACAGTTCCCCGACATAGCTTCTTTCACCTCCCTGGCATTCCTCATATTCAATTCCCGTCATACAATAAATCCGAACTGGTGACAATTCTCTCTCGAACCTGTAAACCCTCACCTCGACTCCCTGATGGTTCCAAAGAAACCTCGTCCGTTTGGGAACGCTTCCTCCCCACAATCTACGACTCTCTTTCCAAACACTCAGGTCGTGACCTACTCTCGTTTCGCACAGTTTGCCTCCAATTATGGCCTACCTTTATCCAACCAATATTGAATGGAACATACACATCTAACGAATTCTCCCGCCTTCTCATCGCCAATCGTGCCCTTCTTCAAAATGACACATTTCTCACGCCATCTGTGCTTGCTCCTACCACGTCCAACTCTCTGGCAACAACGTCAATCTCTAACACAAGCACCACTCAGACTCAAGCCGAAAACAAAATAACAACTCATCTCCCGTATCACACTCGGCTCCTCCTCATCGCCTCCTATCTTGCTTCCCATAACCCCCCTCGCACAGATCAGTACCATTTTCTCCAACAAACCTCAACCTTCAAGCGTAAAAAGCGCGGTGGTGGTACCGCCCTCACTGCCTCCACTTCCCGACCTGGTATTTCCAAATCCCGCAAAATTCCTCGCAAACTTCTTGGGCCCCAAGCATTTGTCCTAGAAAGAATGCTCGCCATATACCACGTGATACTCGAGGATGCCGATGGGCGAGGCCGCTATTCATCTACAAATGGGGCTGGCAAGATGAAACTCAAAAGGTTGGGTGCAGAGCAAGCTGATATACAAATGGCCATTGCGACACTAGCTAGCTTGCGCTTGATCGCTAAGATGGGGAGTGCGAATGCGGGGGATACATTGGATGGAGGAAGTAGATGGAGAGTCGCGGTTGGGTGGGAAGTAGTGAGAGGGATTGCGAGGAGTGTGGGGGTGGAGGCGGAGGATTATTTGGCGGAGTGATTGCCTGCTTGGATCTTGAATAACATGATCCAATTAATGAAGTCACACACAACACACTGGAGAAGGCTCCACAAATGATGTAGATGCGCAAGGAACGAAAGCTAGTTCTTTCCGTGTAGGCTTTGGTTTATCAACACTATTGGGGGATCTTCTGAAGACCAAGAAGAATGACATAGTATACGGTCAAAGCAATAGGCTGTTGTGGTAATTAGGGCTATAGAGATATATGAAGACGGCCACGGCATCCTACAACCGACGCTCAACCTAGAAATCCGATAATTCGGTCAAAATGCACCAAGCAAAGAGACTTCGAATGAAGAAGCTTGGTGGTGTTTTGAACTACATAATATAGAGATCAGAGATCAGAGAACCATCATCATATCACTAGTATGTATGTAATATCTAATATAATATAATATAAATGCAATCACTATGCATCATCATCTCTTCATCTATTCATCATCATCTCTTCATCTATTCATCCTCTGCTTATAGAGTTATAGTATTCTACACCCAGACCCCAACCCATAAAAGTCATGCACAAAATCTCAATTATCTCATATCTCAATTTGTGTCTTTTAATTCTCCTATCAATCATATTCAAACACATTTATACAATACAATAAGATTAACAGCTCGCTTCCATTGATTTATTTCCTTGGTATCGGTATCAAAAAGAAAGAAAGAAAAGAAAAGACGTGCAGTTCCGCAGATCCAGTTCCACAGTTCCAAAGCCATCCATGAACTAAAACGCCTAAATGCTCCTCCCTGAGCTGATTTTAGCGACCGATTGATGTGTTTTGTTTTACTTCTCTCAAGTTCATCTTATTCTTCCTGATTGATCTAGTTGTAACACTACCCAGCTTCTTCTTCATTTGAAGTCTCTTTGCTTGGTAGGTTCATGCGATCCAATCATGCCCTCCTTCACATATCAACCAGAAAAGGAAATTCCATATAAGACAAATCAATCCAACCCAATGCCTTCATCAGTACAAGTTTGTATTAGAAAGCTTTACCACCCACACCCTCACCAGCCAAAACTCTCAAATGTCTTTCACTCAATTCGCTTTTCAAGCCCATACTGGCACTTTCCCTACTTAATCTATCCCAATGTTTCAGTCCATTCCTAAGTTTCTCCTGTCTCTGCTTCAGTTCCTCTCTCAGGACCTCTGCTTCATCTTCCTTTTTCCTAAGACGAGCTGCTAAATCTGTGGGGATGCCAGAGGCTGTTGGGTCAATCCGTCCCCCGGGTATGATGGGTGGAATACCTACCATTGCTGGGTGAATACGAAGACCCGATGAAGGGCCTGAGATGGAACCGCGGCTATGGTAGATACTGGAGGAATGTTGAAGAGAGGGACGAGATGGGATTGTGGTACCTGCGCGAGGGCCAGTGGGAATACCGGATGGATTTGTTGGTGCAGCAGGTGGAGTGTCTCTTGCTGGAGAGGGAGAGACACTTGGTGGAGGTCGAGGTGGAGGCAGACTAGTTCTTGAGCTTAGTTCCGCATTGGGTCGAGCTAGTGGCGCTGCTCCCCAAGATGAGGTATCTGGACGACTGTAACGGTCGATGCTGAATGATGATCGGCCACCTCTCATAGAAGCCGAAGGACCACGAGGTGGGGCGTAACCGCGTGGGCCAGATGGTGGAGCTATGGGACCAGTACTCTCAGAACCAGACCTCGAATTATAGGATGAAGAAGGTCCGGATGGAACAGGTGCAGTGAAGGTGCGACCGCCACTAGGTCCAGTTGGAGCTCGGAAAGTTACCTCTGTACCCCGAAAGGTTGCAGCTGGACCTCGAGGAGGCGATCTTGGAGCTGTAGGACGAATTGGTGAGCGATCCTTCGGGGTAGATCTTGCAGATTCTAATTCTCTTTGTCTGTATGCTAAACCCAGGGGAGATCGATCTCTTATGGGTACTGGTGAGCGTATTGCTTCACGAGTTGCTGCTTGCGTCAAAGCTTGCCTGCTAGGGTGGACGGGTGGAGATGATCGACGAGAATTGGTGCCAGAACTTCGACCTGATGATCTTTCCGAATCGCGAAGTGCTGGAGAAGGAGACCGACGTCTGATTGGGGATGGTGATCTTCGGCGTAAGGGTGAAGGTGAACGACGTCTCCAACTTTGTGAGCTTGGTCCGAGGGGAGTTCGAATATCTCTGGGGTCGCGACTACGAGAGCGTGGGCGCCATGAGCCTCTGGGGCCAGGAGGTGGTGATCTTCGAGGAAGGGGCGATCTAGCTCGGATGGGGGATCTAGCTCGCAGAGGTGTGCGATTACGATCGAATGGTGATCTTGATCGTCTCCTAGAAATTCTTAGCTTTGATAAAATCCAATCTCAAGTAATATTAAATTATTACCTCTCATCTCTTCTTGGAGATCTGGGTCGCTCTCTGCGGTCATCATCTCGTCTAGGAGAAAATCTTCTTGGACTTCTGGCTCTCAATGGAGTTCGGGCTCCCCGAGGTGGAGATCTGGGTCTACCGCGCCAAGTCATATCTCGAGGTGGGGATCGGTCTCTTGCGCGATATGGAGGTGTTCTTGACCTACGTCTTGGTGAACGATCTCGGCCGCCAGGATGATAACTATCGCTGGCTAAAGGTGGAGTTCGTCTGTCTCTGCGGGGTGACCTGTCTCTGTCGCGGTCGGATCTGAAAGTGTCGGCTCGCGGTGGTGAGCGTCGGTTATGATTAGGTCTGTATGATTCACCCGCCCCCAGCCTTGTGACTTCGCCATCACCTCGAATATCCAATCTAGAAATATTATTAATTAGCATAACTTCGCCTGCCAACCCAGTCATTTGCCCATGCAAGTAATTTAATTTCGGCTCCGTAGGGTACCCAATCGCAGGTGTAGCAGAGGTCCTAGACTTGAGACTCTGTACGTATTTCTCGCGGCTCAGTATCTCATCCTCCCCTACAAATATGCTATCATCCAATATAGATTGCGCACTGTTCGAACTTTGAGCTTCATAATTCCAATCCATCTGAGCCATAAGGTTATCGAGAGCTACTAATTCGATGTCTTCTTCGGTGTCGGCCGGTGTGTGTGTTGCACCATTGAAATTTTCGTCGGAGCCCATTGGCTGACCAGAGCTTATAGTAACAAGTGATTCGTCGATACTCGTAAGAGTACCGCAGCTACCGCTCTGCGAGCTCCCCTCATCGCTTGTGAGTTCATGCGCTTCACGGGGTAGTTGAATAGAGAAAATTGGGTCCCCATGCGAGATGTTTCGGATGGAGTCGACAGCGGAACTCTTGCGAGCTTGAATTGTAGCTTCAACCACAGCCTGAGACATAATCTTGTACTTTCCTGATCGCGCGAGACTGATATAATGTTCGTCCCGCAGCGTCTTCCTTCGGCAGTATTTCTTGCCCTCTAGCAAGCCTCGACCGTTGGGGCGCTTCCTGCAGGCGCAAACGTGGAAACCGGGAGTATTGTGTGACCAGATATTCGCGGGTTCTTTGAGCATAAATTGATGTGCTCAACTTGTATGTCACCGTCGAACCAGTGACGCAGAGCTTCTGAGTCTCCTTCGGGGTCTAATTCTGGGTTCGTTGGAAGGACGACGGTAGCTATGCCCATTCTGTAGACAGCGTATCCTGTGAGGCTTTGGTTCTTCTGTCGATGTCGCAAGTTTCTCGAACGTCTTACGGTGGTCCGGCAACAATGTATGCCTTCAAACTCAATATACCTTGTCGCTGCCCGAATGCTATATATACGTGAATGAAGTAAATAAGAACTAACCTTCTGTCTCGACCTCTATCCATCTTGAGCTCCTGCCGATATCACTGCAGGTAATCGAACCTTCTGCAAGCGAACTGATATTGTTTTATATATCAATAACTATGTCGTCTCAAGTCCTCTTACGTTATCAGATCATGAAAGTCAAATGTCGTTTATTCTCTTAGGTTGAATTGAGGATGTGATGATAATCACATCGCAGTTTCCAAGTTCCAAAAACAATTTCCGAGCTGTCATAATGTACGCTAGCGGCCGCTTTGCTTCGATGGATCAGCATATCACGTGCCGAGGGGAGAGTTGAACAAAGTTCCAATTTCTTGAACCCAATGTAGTTGAATTATAACAAGATAAATTGGACTTGCTCCATCAAAAATTCGGTTCGCATATATTTCTTCGTTCCCTCACCAGTATTCTGATATTACATATACAAAGCACCAATAGTGCCTTTGCCATCCCCATCAACGCTGTATTACTTCCCTCTTATCTTAAAATCGGTAGGACCTCTCCCTTTTCTCGCCTCGCTTCTCTTCGTCTCTCTTTTGCTTCTTCCTACTCTCTTGAGCAATCATATCACTCAAATCTTCCTCGTATTGCCAAGCTCCTCGTTCCTCTTTCTTTTGAGCCTCAAACCTTCGTTTAACTTCTTCCTGACTTATACCATCCTCAGTGTGTAGAGAGTCTGGATCCAATGCAACATCTACATCTCCTGGCTTCTTCCTTTTCCTGGTATCTTCTTGTCCTAATACTGGTAAATGAGCATTTTGACCAGCACGAACATCATAAGCTCTTTCACCACCAAAGAATCCTTCGGCGCGTATTTGACGTTCAGGAATGACGGTGTAGGCAGATTTGGGGTGCGTGGACTCTTCAGTCTCGGTTCCTCTCTTTTGTTTGCGAAGATCAAAGTCCCCACCAACACTCATATCACCAGGGTATTCTGAGGGTACAGTCGAAGCCATGCCATCTGGTGTTTCCATACCACTGGGTGTTTGTAGACCGCCAACGTCCTCCTCCTCGTCACCTTCTTCTTCTTCCTCGTCACTCTCTTCTTCTTCAGACTCTTCTTCGGGAGCTTGTAATTCGCCCCACAGTGTTCGCTCAATAGGTTCACCTGCTTGATTGTTAACTTGTGGTTGAAGAACACCAAATATATCTCCTCCATAAAGGGGTCGGTTGAACTCATCCACCGGTGGTTTTCCAAAACCACCAGGATGAAATCCCCAAGCGCCACCAGGTGGCGGTGGTGCATTCAGGCCGGGAATTTTAAGTGAAGGATATGAAGGCGGTGGACCGAAACGCTGTTGGTTGATCAACCATGGAGGCGGAGCTCCAGGTGGGATATTTAGTGCATCTTTGAGGTCATCGCTCAACTCGCCAGGGCGCAAATGTCGTAGATTCGTCTCATACTCCTTTCCCTCGTAGTAGACCTCACCATAGCGTGTTAGTTCCGGCTTTGTTTGAAACCGGAAGAAGGCTTCATACAACTTTTGATAATCAATATCCAGTTTTCCCATCTTTGGCTGCACCCTTTCCCGTTGCTTCTGCTTCAAACTAGCTCCGTCCTGTTTTTCCAATACTGCATCGCGCATCTCAGCGATACCCGTTTCCTGAATAAATTTGGGAAGAGCAAAGGGGGGCTTCTCGACACCACGTTTCGATGACAAATACTCGCGCTTGAGAGACCAGTGGTTTGGTACTGGTACGACATTTCGGTATGATTTGATATGCACGAGTAATCGAGGATCCGATGCTGAGGTATCTGTCCAGTCTACAAGCTCTGGCTTTCTCACAAGCGCTTTCAATTCCGCAACAGAAAGCTTGTCTCTCTCCTTTCTCTTCTTTTTAGATAATTTGAGTTCTTTATCTGCCTCTTCATCCTCGTCCGGAATTCCGTCATCTTGAACGAAGAACATTTCGCCCTTGTCGCCAACGTCTGCGTCTTTCGCAGCCTGGTCTTCTTCAGTGGTAGCACCAAATCTATCCATAATATCTTTGAACATAGCAAAATTTGGATCATCTTCACTGATTTCAAAACCTGAGATTTCTGCTTCCAAAGGATCATCATCAATTTTTTTGGGTTCCTCGATGGACTCGGTGGTTTTGGTAGGCTCAGTTGGCTCGACTTCGTTTTCGGGTTCCGGATCTTTTGGGACATCTGCTTCTGGTGTAGGGGTCACCTGGACTCGGTCAATGATTGCAAGTATCAATACTAGAGATGAACTGACCTGTGTTACTTTCTTCTGCTCCTTTTTCTTCGCGCGCCGCATCTGATTCTTGGTCAATTTTGGCGCCATCTTTGCGACCTGGGGCCACAAGCCCAATAAACAAGATTGAAGCTGTAATTCGAGGTATCTTTATTTCTGCGTTTTTCCTATCCAGTATATTTAATGTTTCAATTTCGTACGATGGCCACCGATATGAAATAATTGGTCAAGAAGAAATAAATAAAAGGTCGTCACAATTCTTGATAGTTTGTCGAAGAGAAGTAAATACCTAGGTAGTGAATATCAAATCGCTATTATTTTAGCGTCGGCAAATCCCGTTAGAATATTAATATCAGAAATCTATTCTATCGTCATTATTAGGTGATGCGATTAGCATGAATTTGAACAATCTCATGTTGTAAATAATTTATTCAAAATAACTTCTTACCTTCGGAACCTCATCCTCATCCTCATCCCCGCGATGAATATTTCGGACGAAAAGATTCTCAATTCATAATTCCATATTTTACAATGCCTCATTCGACTCGAGGGCCATCGCCTGGTCGAATTGCTCAAACGACCTTCAAATTTCCTAGTGACACAAAGGCCAGCTCGCGCACATCCATGGAGAAATTTCCAGACCTCGATACTTCTGATACTGTTGACCAATATGATGGACAATCATTCTACAACTCACGAAAACCCAATGGATATCCCACTGGGCCTCCTGCGGATCGTTGGCAGCCACAAAGAAATGGTGGAATGAGAGGGGAGTCTTGGACAAATGGAGAATCGAGTAACGGGAGAGGACATGGACAACAGAAGAGTATAAGCGATGCATTTAAGACTATCAAGGCGAGGAAAGGTAGTATGAGTGCCAATGTACATGAGATTTCAGATGCCCTGAAGGCTCCAGTCTCTCCAAAGTTAACTGTTCGTGAACTCCCCCACCGCCCCCCCCCTAGAATATCATTGATGAGTGCTAAATCAATGTATGTAGGTCTTATGTGTAGTATGGTATCTCTCAAGCGCCCTAACGAACACATCCTCAAAATCCATCTTGAATGCATTCCCGAAACCTGCGACTCTTACTCTCATACAATTTGCATTTGTCGCATTCTATTGTCTTTTCTTCTCTTGGCTTTCATCTACCTTCCCACAGCTCAAAAATACAATTCCGGCTCTGCGACATGGAATTCGATATCCAACAAAAGAAGTTATCATGACTACGCTACCTCTCGCGGCCTTCCAAATCGGTGGTCATCTTCTATCTTCCACGGCAACAGCCAAAATTCCGGTTTCCCTGGTCCACACCATTAAAGGGCTTTCCCCCCTATTCACAGTGGTCGCATACCGACTTATATACAATATTCGTTACCCTGTAGCAACATACCTTTCCCTCATCCCACTCACGCTCGGCGTAATGCTCGCATGTTCTGCAGAATTCAGGGGAAACATATTTGGTATTATTTATGCCTTCCTCGCAGCCATAATATTCGTCACTCAAAACATATTTTCCAAACGACTCTTTAATGAAGCTGCAATTGCAGAAGCGGCAGGTCAGCCACGTACCAATAAACTCGACAAACTTAATCTTCTCTGCTATTCATCTGGTCTCGCTTTCCTCGTTACATCACCTATCTGGTTATGGTCAGAAGGTTTCACTCTCCTCGGGGATTTCTTCCACGACGGATCTCTTGACCTAAGCTCCCACCCCGAAGCCTTCGACCACGGACGTCTAGCCCTCGAATTTGTCTTCAACGGAACTTTCCACTTCGGCCAAAACATCATTGCCTTTGTCCTCCTTAGCATGGTATCCCCTGTCACCTACTCCGTTGCCTCTCTCATAAAACGTGTCTTCGTCGTTGTAATCGCCATCATCTGGTTCCAAAATCCCACGACCAAAATTCAAGGTCTAGGAATCACCCTCACATTCTTCGGTCTTTACCTTTACGACCGCACTAAGGGCTCCAACAAAGCAGACCGCAAAGCCAAAATGCTGAACACAAAAGAAGATACCATCCTCCCTTTGAGCACAACATCCAACCTGCTCAACCCAGGAACCCAAGGCCAAGTCCTCTTCGACTCCCCAATCCAAGCCCGAGGCGGTGGCTACGCTTTATCGTCTAGTAATTCGGATAATAAAAGATCAGACAATAATTCATTCGATAAAATGGGGAGATTGAGGGGCAGTAGTAATGCTTCTTGGTTACCGCCTGGGACCCGGCAGGAAGATACTTGGAAACCAAGGGAGATAATTGCGAGTGGGCCGGGGGTAAACGGGAATGGGAATGGCATTTCTGTTAACTAGAGATTCCTAAGGAGTGCTCAGACGGTCATGTGATATTTTATAAATAGATGAGATGGATTTTGATCTGATTTCGATTATTCTACTTTACTTTGTTTTATTTTACTTTACTTTATTTACTCATGATATGAACGAAAATGCGCACGAGCAAGCATCGAACGCTGCGTTGGGTGTACAGGGAATCAAACTCATACCAAAGGGAATGGGAAAGGAATAGAATAGGCGTTTACGGTTTAGGTCAGGTAGATAGAATTCTTGAATATAGATGATGGTATCTAGAGCTAGGATCTGTCTTATTTGTCAGGTCCTACTCGAGTCGTATCCCAATAATGGATGGAATCAGAAAATAATAAGCATTTTTTGAAACTTGCTAGCTTGCTAGCTCGCTGGCTCGCTGATTTGGTGGTTTGGTGGTTGCTTGCATTCTGAGATTTCCTCGCTACGCTCGTCGTTAAAAGCGACGATTAGACTAAGAATGGGTTGGTTGTGTAGATGCCTGGTTCCTGATTACTATAATGCAAATTGGGAGGGAAGGATAGGTAGGCATAGGGATAGGAAGGGGTGGATGGGTACTAGATAGGTATATTATAATATACTGAGTATACTGAGTTGAGTTTGGGTTGAGTTTGAGTAGAGTAGGGTAGAGTAGTGAGGAGATAGATATCTAGGTACCTAGGTAGATAGATGAATAGATGGATGGCTCGTATAATATTACCATTTTTACAATGTTATAATGTTATAACATTGATTACTGTTACTCGAGTACAATATAAATATCAATCAACTGCAACGTTAGATATTGATTAAAGTTTAGAACTTGGAGGTGGATGAGTGAGAAGGTAAATGAAAACTAAGATACAAGGACTGTATATACTCGTGTAAATATATCTATCTCATTCATAAACATAGACATGACATGACATGAACATAGAAACATACAACAGCCTGTTTGTTATACATATATACATACCCAAAGGCCAAACCCCAACTCGAGTACACCTATTCCCAGTGAACTCTCAGTGAGCTCCCGGTGAGCTTCATCAATACTTTTCTCAAAACATATTTAGTAAGTAACGTAATACCAGCTCCCAGGTCCCTTCCTACCAATAGGCACCCGCTTTAGAAACCTCATACAAGTCTTGTATCCATACCAGTAAGCTTCATCAATACTTTTCTCAAACATAATCAGTAGATACATAGGTGGTAATACCAGCTCCCAACCCGCAACCATCCCCCATCCCCCTTCCCCCCCTCTTAAAAATAAAAATCTCTCGCAAATCAGTCAGTCAGTCTCCCACTACTCGAGTAATAGTAATATGGTATGAAAATAAAACAAACATACTCTCGAGTACTTAACCTAACCTAATTTAAATTTATACTCAGTATAGGTATTTGTAAACCAAACCAAACCAAACCTCTCTGAAGTTTTTGACGTAAGATTCTGATGTAAGACTCTGATGTAAGATCAATCATGCTCCAAATAATAGGAAAGTAACAGGACAAGCAGGTAGGTAGAGAAGGTAAGTGAGATACAATGATACATGCCATGCATGTATGCATTCCTTTTCATCATATATGGATGTACGCATGTATGCGTATCAAACAAGGTAATCTTAATACAGAGAAAAGAAGAAGAAAAGAAAGTAAAGCTAGCTATGTACTTTCGTACTTCCCTACTTTCGACTTCATATGTATGCGTGTAGTAAAGACTCCAAACGAACCTTCCTACCTTGGCCAATTGATGCTACCATCCATGAAAACGCAACGCATTCATGTCCATCCATCCCAATCCATATCCATATCCATTTCCATTTCCATCTGCACCTCACGGATCAAGCCATGGCGAATGCAAAACACGTGAACCAAGTAAACCAAGCAAAACGCAAATATCCATCCGTCCATTCCCAATGCAATGAGTCTAGCCCAACCCAACCCAACCCAGCCATTTCTTCATGCATTCATTGTACATATCATAATCCATTTGCCCCTTCCTTTGACTCCCCTTCCCTTCCCTTCCCTTCCTTCCCTTTCTTTCAATTGTGATCCATCAATTGCTTAGACAAGAGCATAACTTGCAAACCAGCCATCCATCCATCCATCGCAAAAACCATACCCAAATTTCCCTGCCCTAAAAGCCAATCACCAAGCCAACCCCCCCTCCACAAACCCATCATCCCCATCCCAATCCCCATCACCCTCAGGCTCACTATCTAAAAAGTCTGCCTCACCAAATTGCGTCTCCGCCGGCCTCAAATTATCAATCCTTACATTAACCACCTCACACATTCCTTGAATAATTACATTTTGCTTTTGTTTTCCCTTCTTTACATTGCCATTCCCATAGCCATTACCATCCCCACTCTGACTCTCACTATTCTCATCTACATCATCCTTATCTTCGTCCTCCAAGATAGGAGTCTGTGGCGGCGAAGAAGGAAACCCGTCAATCCCCGCCGTTATTTTCAACATGCGAATCTCCCTTGTAGCACGACTTCTTTGAGCGATTTCGCGATCCGAGGGGACAGATCTAGAAGGAAGATTTGAGGAAGAAGATGCGTTGTTGCCATCACTTTCATCATTAGAATGATCGGGGCTTTCTGCATAGTTGGTTGTGCGTTTAGAGCGCGTGCTGTGGCGAATTGGTAGAGATTTTCTTTTCTGTTGGACCTCCCGGTTCTTTGCTGGGCTCCGGTCGATATCCCCGATGCCTGGTCCGATAATAGGAACATTCATTCCTGGCAATTCTGAAGCTTTGATAAACAGCTTCGGAGGATCGCAAATCCTTTTAAAAACTTGACCTAGAGTTCCGATCCATTTTCCCCTAAAGTCAGCCCTATCTCTCCATCCGATACTAATGCTAGTTTGTATAACCAGAATCCTGAGATCCGGTAGTTCGCCTGCGCTATCTAACAAACTTTGAAAGAACATCTCTGCAGCTTCTTTTTCCCATTTGCGTAGATTAACAAGCTCGAGGGTTTGGAGTGTGGATGGCCATACGGGGATTTCATCACTTTTGAGTAATTGATCGTAGTCCGGCTCGGAGTTATGGTAAGAAACATGCGCATCGAAATATTGAAGATCCATTCTTAAAACTTCCAGATATGGACATGCTGCGCCTAGTGAAGGTAGAAATGCTAAACTCAAGGCAGAGTTATGATTGAGGGTGAGACAGCGAAGTTGTCTGCCGCCGGTCAGGAGATATTCGCCAAGCATCTCAGCGGTGACCTCCCAGCAATTAGTGATCTCAAGATTGCGCAAGTTCGATGGCAGGAGGGGCATCAACTTCGCATTAAGTAGCGTTGATGATTCGAATACTAGATGTTCCAAGTTCTCTAGGGCAGATAGCGCTCTACCCAATAATTCTTCAAGCTTTGGATCATCCTCGCCTTTTTTAGGGGGGCGGATTTGATAATTGACAAAAGCAACCTTCTTCAGCCAAGCAAAAATTGGTTTGAGGTGTATCTCACGAATTTTTTCGATAGGCCATTTTTTACCTGCTAATCTCGACGACCAACGCCAGCTTCTTAGTTTGCACAGACTGGTTTTGCTACCTTTGGTAGAATCTGCCGCCGGATCAACGTGCTCAAGTGCCTCAAACACGGTATCTGGGTATTCCCATCTGATCGGATCGTCAAGTTGTTTGAACGGCTTCGAGTCTTTTTGGTCGTAAAACTCTAAATCCGCCAATCTCGGCAAGTCCTTTATCAAGCCATACAAATCCAGAAGTCCACTTCCAGGTAGAGAATAAGCCGCAACTTGTCTGACCTCAATTCGAAGGTTGACAACTTTCTGTCTGTATCCAAACGCCACCGACTCAGGGTCGGATTTAAGTAAATCTACGAGTCTAAAGATTAAGTAAGCTAAAAGGTTTCTTTCTGGATCTGAGAAGTGATTTACCGGTGAGCTTTGTCCATTGGAACAAGAGGAGGCGAATTGTATAAAACTGTAAAAGCTGGCTCGGCGAATCCCCGACAAAGATATGCGGCGTCCAGAAGCCATCTACCAGATGGAAGGGGCTGAAAGGTTCCTTCTTCATACAAGGGATATGTAGCGTACTCGAATATCTGAACAAGAATATGATATGGTAAAGTCTGCCATGGCGGAGTATTCCCGGTTTCCTTTACAACTGTGGCAGATGGCGTCTGAACTATTGATCTTCTAGAAGAGATCGAACGCATTTGTTTTCTTCTCTTTGTCGTCGACTCATGGGAATCGTGGTAATTTGTAGTGATAGCACGACGTCGCTTGGTAGAATAATGAGAGTTTGTAACATTTCGAGGGAGTCTTACACGGGGCGTATGGGAGGTGCCACTATTCGAATTTTCATTGTCTTCGCTATTCTCCTCCTCGGCATCAGTCGAGAGTTCTGTGTATGAAATGGCCGGCTTCTGTCGAGTGCTTTTTGTGGGAGCTACATGTGATATGTTGATCGCAGAGCGAGGCTGTGAAGCATTTCGGGTGCGTGTTCGAGATCGTCTCGCGGGAGGAGAATTGGAGGTATCGCTACGTGATTGTTCATCGGCGTCACCATTTTCTGCTTCCTCCTCTAAATCGAGTTCGCTGTCGGTTGAAGGTTCTGCATATGAGATGGTAGGTTTTCCTCGGGTAGATCGAGGAGGAGTTCGCAGAGCTCGCTGTGATATCGAAGATCTAGCCATGCCAACAATTATGAATTGTTTGTTGGTTGTGATTCATTGAATGTAATGTTCGTTGAAGCTGAAATCGGTTAAGTGCAGACCGTCTGAACCATCTGACTTTGGTACTGTAAGTATAATAACTCTTTGCTAGTATATTTTTATCTCAGTTATGTACATCCGCAGATGATGATGATGATGAATCAGGACAAGTTTAATAATGAATGAAGTTTAGACCGACTAGAAGAAGTTCTTTGCTTTGCTTTGCTTTTGCATCACAGAACAATGAGATGTTTACCTAGGTACCTATCATTTAATCCGATAAGAAATTTAAGGTTTTGAGCTAAGAAAATGTAATAAATATAATCCCTGCAATTTCCTCGGTAGCTCCTTCCCCTATGGAAGATATGCATCTCAAGCTGCAAGAAATATATAAATGGCCCTGATTCAATGATATGTGATATGCAAACAAATTATGTGGATTTAGTACTGTTGTACACCCAGGAAGGATAATTACATAGAAATGGAAAGACTCATATTCATTTAATCTACCTATGTGTAAGATCTCAACACTTGACACTGATAATAAACTTATTATACAGACAACAAACAAGTTCTATGTAACGTGCAAAGAACAAGTTGTGCATCCTCACATCCTCACAAGATTCATTCTTTTTGATATAGCTTCAGCTTCAGCTTTCAGCCTCGGTCTGATCTTTCAGAACCCTATCTGGTAGTTTTTAGAATCACCTTATCTCACCTCACCTCACCTCACCTCACCTCACCTCGCCTCACCATTCATTCATTCATTCATTCATTCAAAGAGGCGGGTAGTGGCCAGTGAAAAGGTCGAAGGATAATGAAATGTCAGCGGCAGGTGTCAATGGAGAAATTGGGAAAGCAGCTATTGAAAATTGGCTATCAGATCATCGTCTTCCGTTTCGCCCCTTTCTAAGAGGCAATCTTGAAAAGGCCATTAGATACCACGAAAATTCAAAGATGGGTTCCTCAAACTCATCTCTGAAGAATGTTACGCCGCTCCAAGAACAAAAACCTGAGATCTTGGCATCTCACGAGGAAGACGAAGAGAATGAAGATCCAAGACCTGCAAAAAGAAGGAAGACCACGACTACCAATTCTACCTCAGTACTCGCTCACAATTTCTCGAGTCGATCTTTGTCTTCAACGTCAACTTTGGCTTCAGCAACAGCGTCGTCTTCACTTAGTCATTCCACAAGTGAAGAATCTCGAAAACCAACAAGTTTTCCTAGCAGATCTCAGGTGAATAAGATCAAACCCACGGAATTTTACGGTCGTCAACCATCAATTTCCGAAGGATCCAGATCAAACCCTTCAACTGAGAGATCAAAGCCTGATCGAGTTCGAATTGACTCTGTACTGAAATTAACAGAACCCCCTATGGACTTTCAAAAATTACTACGAATTCGGGTTGCCAGCATAATCCACGGCCCAAGTCATGGAGAAGCTGAAGATGAAGGTAGTCATACCGGTAGTCAATACTCAAATATCAAATGTACTCTAGCTTTGCTCCGTGTTTCAGAGGATGAATCTTTGATAGATATCTATCGGCAACCTCAGACAGGAAGGATCCGAAGGACATCTGAGGGCCGCAAAAACGATACTTGTCCAGTATACTTGCCACCCTTTCACATACCGTCGGCTGTCCTTTTTCAGGATCCAAATCTTGAGGATTCGTCAGATCAAATGCAAAGTCCGAACGAACTTGGGATATATAGAGTTCAGTTATTGATCGAGCCATACCAAGCTAATCGAAAAGACTGGTTGCCTTTGACGATTTCCAGTCTTCCGCACAACAGTCACATCGCGAGAAAGATATCCAAAGGAGAAGCAAGACTTACTGACGTGCGCCAAATCATATGCGAGTTTTTGCTCTTTGACTGGAATAGCAAGCAAAGGACAGATCAAATTGAGCTAATCTACGACGGGGTAAGAATTGAAACTTCGGCATCTTTGAAATTGGATATACAATGGTCACTACCTAGTCAACTGAGTAAGAAGGAAGAAATTATCGCACCGAAATTACAAACCCCGGTTCCCGAGACAGCTTCCGAATTAGTTCTACCCCATCTTCTATCCCCACAGAAGTTAGAGACAATAGAGCCTGGAAGCCCTCCTCGTGCTCAGAGACGTGGTCGTGCAAACATCCCGACGTACAATCTCAAAGCGTTGAGTGCAAAAGCTCAAGGCAAGAAACTGAAAGCTCAATGGAGCAATGAAAGTTCAGGGACTTCTGCGGCTGCGGCTGATACCGGCGAAAACGCAACCTATACATTTAGCAAAGCGAATGCAGAATTGTATGGTATCAAACAAATACATGTGGTCGCTGGATTCTTGTGCCCTATATGCAGTTTAGACGCCAAATGCATGCAAAATCTTCGTCTTCATTTCATGACCACACATGATCGATTTACATTTCATGTTCGATTCAAATCGTCCTTTGTCGTCGAATTCAACAAGGGTTCTCGACATTCGAAGGGAACTCATTCGTCGCAGATCATCCAGCTTCGGAGAGCCACTACTTTATTGGATTTGGAGAAATACCTTTCTGGCGACTGTTCTTGGGCGGAAGTTAGGGAAGGACCTCAGAATAATCAATGGCCAGATAGCCTTGCTCATTTGGGGATTGAAGCCTCACCATCTCCATCACCTCAAAGTTCACGCCAGAGCTCACTAGATATATTGGACATTGACACTGAAACAAAGGAGGGTGGGGGTTTGGTTCCAGAACCTGCCTATATTCGGCACCTGGCTAGCCTACCCATCAGAAACAAGAAAAAGTACTACGTTCCTGATATCAAAAACGGTCCATATCCTAGGTCTGTTTATACTCCCGATGTTGTAGATCGGGTATTTTATGACCTACGCACGAAGCGAGTTTTGGAGCCTGCAGAGGAACTACCCGATAGCGACGATGAGAAGGATGAAGCATGGTTTTTGCATAAGCGTAAATGGATTATCAACGACTACATAGATCTCACCGATGATGAGAAGGAATATCTCATCAAATGGGAAGAATTCATCATGGCCGAACGACTAACTAATACAAGGCACCTTTCGGAGACGATCAAGAGATTTGTGGCAAGAAATCGTGTCTGGTTCGCCGAGAAGAAGGCCCGTAAGCAGGAGTGGCATAAGCAGGTAGAATTGTTGGTTATGAGAGATAAGCTTGAAGACCAGCCGCTTATGTCTCATTGCGACAAACTCTTCGAACAAGGGAAGAAGGAATTAGATGCAAGAAATTCAGAGCCAAAGGCTGAGTCGAAGTCGGAGTTGAAACCAGAAGGGCAACCAGAACCAGCAAAGGAGATGAGAGGATGCACGGTTTGTGTATGCGGTGATCCTGTTCAAGATCCTGATCAGGTTATTTGCAGTGGAGAGGTGAGTTTACTAGAGCACTACTCGATTCATTTTCACTAATGCACTATAGCGATGTCCCGATTCTCACTATCATAAAGAGTGTGCCAAAAAGTCTAATCGCTCAATCGTACCCAAAGGCACTTGGTTATGTGATAGGTGTAATATAAGAGCATCTCTTTTACAAAAATCGGCTCTCACTGGTGTTGCAATGGAGAATAATTATCAAGACAGGGTGCCGATACAGAGGTGAAAGGATGGAGGCATTTAGTACTGGAGAATCGATAGAGGTAGTTAGTACCGGGGAATCGTTATAGGTAGTTAGCACCAGGGAATTGATACAAGTATTTAGTACCGGAGAATCACCACTAAATTCAACGTTCTATATCAAATGATTCAAATCACATGAATATTATAATACCTAAGACAATCATCGATTCTTTCTTTCCTACAGGCGAGGACTAGACTAGACCAGACCACACCAGACCAGACCAGAACAGGTCAGATTAGATCAGATCAAGAAAATTCCAATACTTTACCAGTATAGGTAACCTACCGTACTCGTAAAAGTTAGATATAAAGTTTCATAAATACGAGTAGCAAGCAAACCATTGAACGCGATTTAATGATCGTCGATTGAATTTTTCAGTGTTGTATTATGGTATAGTATAGTACTATAGTATAGTAGATGAGTCACAATCTCATAAACTGATCATCGACTTTGTATATTTTTTTGAGAGGGGGGGAAGGAGGGAGGGTATTAGGTAGGTTTAAGTTAGGTATTAGTAGATATTATTTGTGAGAATGTATAAAGTGAAGAGTGTATTTATATAAACGATATATACAAACTTTCAATTTGTCTTTACAAATGCTTATACATCCTATATTATTAGTTGATATCTTGGTAAATTACTCGTAGTTGAGTGATAGGAATTAAGACTTTATAATTAATTGTCCGTCACCAGTATATGTACTCGAGTAATAGTAACAGTATTAAAGTGTATTATGTAATCTGACTATAATTTATAACTTCGAATGAACTTCGATAAGAGGAGTTATGGTAGCGAATCATTTTTTAGTAAGTCTTACATAACTAGTGCATAGAAAGTTATTAGTAAATGCAAGGACCCCCAAGAAAAGCCCGACCAAATCTATCAATCCAGTTACTACCTTAACCCTTACTACTTTCACAATTTCATAGAATTTTATTACCACACCACCACAATCAATCACAACCACAACCACCACACAACTTACCTATACATAACATTTTATTATTCACTACCTACCCTCGATAAATTTACGAATCAAAAAGAAAGAGAAAAGAAGAGGAACAATAGAAAAAAGAGTAATAATTGATTTAATTCAAGGAAGGGTTCACCTCACCTTTGGTTCATCTCTTTGGAATATTTCAATTCACTTCACCCTGTCTCGAACTCTACCGGTATTGTGGTGCATCCGATTGTTGCGACAATGCAATGCTTAGGCCGTGATATACACCAATAGTTATAAATCGTCACAATAGCAAAAAAATACCTTTCTATTGTCAAACTAACCTTACCGAATTACTTCAATTTGACTTGCGCGCACGTCATAAATACGTTTTTTTAATATTGTAAGTTTCCATTTCACTCTCCCCAGATCAGCCAACGTCTTCGTTACCCGTATGAAGATATTACCAAAAATACAACCACCAAGATGTCGTCCCTACACCGCGAGCTTCTAACGAAAAAGAAATTCAATCCGTTCATGATTGCTGATATGGTTGCTACAGAAAGAATGGAGAAAAGGAAAGCGATGGAGATCACCGGCGAACCCCCCATTACCATCGGGCAGCTACAGCACTTATTTCGTGATATTGTCAAAGATGCTCTCCCAGAAGTAAGCTTGCATGTCCCAAGAATGTGTTTTCGGATTTACTGACGTTTGGCAGAAGCCGCACATCCTGAAGATTCCCGATGCCGCGAAAAAAGAATGGGAGGAGAAAGATCAAGACGAACTCCCTAAAATACCCTGGAATCTACGAGTACTTTCCGAGCATGTAGAGGCTCGCAAGCTTCAATATATGACTGTCTTCTCTTCAGGAGACCGCGACCTTCAGGTTCCACAAAGCTTTGATCATGAAGATCACACGCATGCAGCTCGAAACACTGTCGACACTCCTCGGAGAGACCCGAACAAAACAATGTCGTGGGCGGACTATAACAAAATGAAGAAGGAAGGAATTAAGCCTGCTCTTAGAACTTCTGCAGCTCCGGATTTGGCTCCTCCGAAAGGGCATACAAGAACCACAAGCAGTACTTCCAATGCGACTCCAATAGCTCGTGGATCTTCCTTCGAGGGTGCTGCCAAGGGTGAAATTCAAAAGAATGGAACTGCGGTTCACTCTGCGAGCAAGGCAGAACAAGTAGTCAAGAACGGTATTGATAGGTATGTCTCCAGTCATCGATATTTATTGCACCTCTTAACATCGTCATATAGAAATTCCAACCCGCTCCGAAGCAACCCTACCAAACCACAACATCTCACCAATGGCACCAATGGCATCAAAATCCGCACGGAACAAACAAAGGACGTTTTGAGGCCCAGAGAAATTAATACGCCACAAGTCAAATCATCCACAAAACCGAGCTCTTCGATCCCTACCTGGGATGCCCCTTTGAAGCACAGCTTACCTCCTCGCCCGCAATCCCCACGAAGAGTGGTTGCGGATAATAGAAATCATAAGCGACCACTCGAAGCTGAAGAACCATCTCACGCAGAGAAGCGTGCTAGAACTGATCGGGCGAATTCACACCTTCAAAAAATCGTCAAACCAGAAAATATTTCGTCCAAGGCAAAAGCCCCTCCTTCCAATTTGAGCAAGTCAGATGACCACGCATCAAAATTCTCCAAAGGAACAGGCGAGATAAAATCAAATAAATTGACCGGAAAACCGGTCAATAATTTACCACCATTACTCTCACCACTTCCTGCCGACTTAACCACCCCCACCACTTTTGATGGCCCCAAGAAAGCCGATCAAAAGGCGTCATCGTCGAGCACTCCATCGAAGTTCAAACCTTCTCTCAGCGGGAAGAAACTTCCACTAAAAGAGTCGTCATTGCCACAGGGACTTTCGCCAAACACACCTCCAACATCGGTGTCACCCTTCCAACTTCCACCTTTACTCTCACCAACACTCCCTGACATTGTCGAGGCAGCATTGGCGGAACACAAGGAGAAATCTGACAAGCAAAAAGAAAGTGACAAGCCTATATCTGCGCCTGAACATCGTCAGGAGAAATCAGGTTTGTTGACAGTCGAAGAGCGTCACACACAAGCCCGTAAACCAGATGCACCTGGTGTTGCTCGCAAAACTACTACCGGCGCCAAAATTGGTCATCCTCCTAAAAGATCTGCTTCCAGTACACCCTTACAAAAGGATCGCGAAGTTTCAAAGGCTCCAGTTTCGAGTCAATCACTTATTGTCAAGTTGCCTTACAGCAAGAAGAACGCTACAACTATTGAGCGCCTTCTCAGATTATCACCACGACCTTCACCAGAATTTCTGAAACTTGACGCTATCAGAAAGAAGGATGGCAATGAGGTTATGATGGCCCTTGGTTCCTCTAAGAAAGTTCCCGTTGTTTCTACCAAGACGGCTTTGAATGATTCGGGTTTGGATTCTGAAGAGGACATACCTTTATCATCTCAAAGCAAAAAGACCGTCTCTAAGAAACGCCCTAGCGATGTTCTTCCTTTGAAATCCGAACCTCCATCAAAACGCGCAAAAGGTCCTGACAGTCTTGACGTTACGACTTCTCGAAAGACCGTCCCGAGTCCATTGAAAACTCCCATGCGTCCTGGAACATCTCAGAAAAGCTTACTTGCCACCCCCAAGAAGAGTGAGGGTTCCAGGGCTGCTATGGTCAGGGTCACTTCTAGCGATGGCAATCCTCAAACTCCTCAGGGTGCCAATATTACTGCAACAACTCCCCAAAGTGTTTCGGCAAACAAATCTGAGCTGATCAGGGAATTCGCTCGCAAGCTCAAGAAAAAAGGCGAACGTATGACAAGGGTAGGAGGCGATCAACACCAACTTAAGCCTGTTACTGAACGGTCAGCTGGGGTCATGGTTGTGTTTGAATGCATTTGCCTGTACATGAGGTATTTCAAGGGGCTCCCTTGCGCTAGTCCTAAGGAAACTAGCTATAACCAAAAGGGCATGAACGCCAACAATTGGGAGGGAATTCTTCCGATGTTGAATTGGCTTGGAGGTATCAGTAAAGATATTCCTGTTCTCCAGGCATTGTTTGCTCATCTCAATGCCGTTTGCCAAGAAGAATGCACCCGTGCTTTTTTTAGTATGCGTCCTTCACCAGGCAATGCTGAAGATGACCGCGCAAAAGACAACCGAAATTGGTCCAAGCAGCAGGCATGCGATTCAAGAAGACATGAAGCCTGGCGGCACAGCAATTTTGTTGGATACAAACTCTTGAGAAACTTTTCCTTGAAGGGTGAGCCTACCGTCGTTGGACCTTGGACAAGCGTTGGTAGCATTACAACCTATTGCATGGAAGTTTGTACAGCATTCAACAAGAAGGAGAAACTGGGCTGGGAAAAGGATGTTGACTTTTAGTCGCTCTCCTTTCCTTCCTCCTACTTCTACATCTATGTGGCTCTTTTTACTCTGGCACAACACGATGATCGATATAACGCGTTTTTACGTATTCGAAATTAACCTATTGAAATTTCTATTACAATTTTGCTTCTTTTTCATATTTTTTTGTTTTTACACACTTTTCTACGGCACAATACTTATGGGGACTGGTGCTCGGATATGCATGGGGATTTGGACTGGAGTGTGTTGTGTGGACGGCGTTTTCGAGATTGTCTTTTTGGCCTTGGCACAATACACGGTTTACTACTAAGGATGGATCATGGCAATATACCCAGAAATCACCTGCTACTGTTCTAAATTTGAGGATAGACCGATCATATGGTTGGTGGCAGGAATTTCGAATTTTACTTTACTATATTGAGATTTGGGGGGTGGAGGGGGAGCGAGAGAATTGGGATGAATGATTGGGGTTCGTAGATATTGGTGGATTTTGAGATGAATTGAATGGGTGTATCATAGGATGAATCGTTTGATTGATTGATTGATTGATCGATGATCAAATGGATGGATATAGTATATGGAAGACAGTGAAAGGAGACAGACATACAATTAGATATGAAGTACATGGAAAGTAAATAGAATGGAAATATCTTGAAAGCAAAACATTGACTCTTATTCAATCCTCAAATTCAATCGAAATATTCATTATTGTCATTCTCATTCTTTTAAACCTTCAACCTCAGTCTAAATATTAATCCTAATTCAAACCTTAGATCTAAATAACTCAAATCTTCAATTCATATCTATCTCTTTTTCAATTCTCAAATTTTATTCAAATTCAAATATTCATATCTATCTCTTTTTTAAACTCTAATTCAAATTTCTATAATATTTCTAAATATTAACTCTAATTCAAATACTAATAACAATCTTAAGGCTAATTAAGAGAACAAATCTATATATTTTTAATTTATATTTATTATTATAAAAATATATATTAATATTTTTTGGTTATATTTTATATTCAAATATTTATTACTTTTTCAAATCTACTTCTTTAATTTTTTAAACTAATTCAAATACAAGTTGATCTCTTTTCTAAATCTAAATTCTTTAACTTTTTAATATATTTCAAATCTGTTAGAAAGTAATACTCTATAGCGTGGTGGAAGTAGTAGTATTATTAACTATTATAAGAA